CGAATCTTGAATAGATCATTCCTTGAATAGGAAATCGTAGGTCTTAAAGAAACAATACGCAAATCCGCGTAAGTTCTTGTGGTGTGTTCAAAATGTAGAACCTGCGGACCTGGGTTCCGCGAAACGTCCGAAAACACCGTTATGTCCAACGGAGGGTCGTGGCCAGGAATGTGAAGCGAAGTAGATCCATGTTTAGTCCACTTTGTAACTGGAAGACTGGATTTGAAATAACTCTCGGATCTCAAATCGAGTCGAAATTTGCCGCCGAGCTTCACGACAAATATCAAACCAGCATCACCAGAAAATACAGTCCCCGTCAAAAATAACCCCAATGGCCTACGTAGCAAACATTTAGACCCATTTTGAATAGGTCCTCGCGTTAGAAATAGGAATGTAAAAGCATAGAAAGTCAATAAAGCGACGGAGCTAAAGCTCCGCGTGGCCGCCATTGATGCGCCTCACACCCTTCCTCGAGAGAAGAGAAGAGAAGAGAAGAGACATGAGAATCTATACCGGTGTGGAGCCACATGTACCCTCCACGGACTACAAGGAAGAGGTTGATCGTTAACAAAAACTGTCACCTCATGTTCTCTAACACGATCGGGTGTGTATCTGACCCTATATGTCCCACGTGACATCCAGTTGTCAATCATGGTGGCGAGGTCCCTTTCTGCTGGACTCCGAACTGTCACTTTGATCTCATCAATTTTATGGTAACACTGTTTCCCATTTGAATAAATTGTTTTGATGCCAAATATCTTTGTACATCCAGCCTCAGCTATTACTGAGTCGTAACCTTTCACATATGATCTTAGTGGATCAGTTTTACTAACGAGTACTTTACCTGGATCTGTACTTGTCAAATTCTGAACGTAATTCGTATCTTTAAGGTAGAAGACGTGGCAAGGCTTAAAAACGTCCATTTTTGTTGCTCTTAGAACACCTTTAAACCTTTTAATTTTCGCCTGTTGCGATTTTAGGGTCTCGACGGTGGTGTCTCCTCGTAACATTTCCACGCAATTTCTCACAGAGATTTTTAATTCGTCTACAGATGTTTCGAGGCTTTCTACTTGTCCAGTATAATCTCTTTGTTGTGCTTCTTCTAGAACATCCAACTCGGTCACCATGGACCTCTCGTGCTCTCTTAAAACATGAATGAGTTCTTCAACGATTGTTTGCACACTATTCCGAATGCAGAGATTTTTTCTTTGCGTATTGCAAGTGTTTTTATTGTTTCCGTAATTTGTGTCTCAAGCTCAGAAATTTGCATTTTCATTTGTTCTATAGTCTCTTCCATTTTCAGTTTCTCTTCCTCGGTAGCCTGTTGGATGTTCACTTTGGTGTGTTGAGTGTGACGAGTCTTACCACACCTATCGCAAATGGAAACTTTACATTTCTTACAATTGTGATCCAGAGGTTCAGTCTCGTGGCCTTTCTCTATACACATCAATGAGTTCTCCAACAGTTCTTTCGACACGATGGACTCCCCTAGCGAAAACGCAACTGAAAAATTTAATAAGCGAGCGAGAACTTCTTCGTCTTCTTCTTTGGAATCATTAACGTAACTAGCTTTGATGCTTCGAATACGTTTTATTGTGAAGCGTAAAAGCGCGTTCAGTGACGACTCCAACTTGCAAACATGTGGAACAAACGTAAACTCTCTCTCTCACTGACACTGTGAGCTGAACATATACAAGTAAGTACATTACTAAGCGTTTAAAATTTTCAATTTCACGATCTGCTCTCGTCTCATTGAACTTTTTACCAGTGGTCTTTCTCTTTTATTTCTCAGATAAAGTGGACGACGGAGATATGTTAGCTTTGAAAGAACAAAAATAATGTAAAAGAAATTCCAACTGACCGAAGTCAGTATACTTATGTTCCATTTTAGGTTCAAATCATCCAGCCTTTGTATGACATTTTTAATTATGGTGCCAAGTTCATACAGCTGGTCGTTCACGTTGCATTAATCTTTCTTCCACTGGCTGAGAAGTTCTTTGCAGTGTTCTTCAACTTCAGGGTCCATGTACTCAGTTTCAAGATAGTCAATGGCTGATTTGTATTTCGCCCCACCCAGTCTCACCGAGTCTCACCTGATGTCGCTTCAGCATGTGTTCAGTGAAAGTCGCATCATCAACTGAAGCACACTCGGTATGACCGTACACAGTGTTTCTGTAATATTTAAAACGAGCAATATCAGCTTCACGACTCATATCTGTCACAGCAGGAAGTGTATACCAGCTTGTTACGGGGGAAAATAAACCGCATATGCGTGTTCCGGAGCAGGCCAGGACCATAGAAAGTGTGATGTCAAAATTTGCTGATGACATTGAGGACGGAATGGCTGGAAGGAGCTTTCCCCATTGCGTTACGGTTATAACTTTTCTTGTTTTCAGTGACTTCAATTTCGTCGCTTTCTTCTCTACTAAAACTTTGTGAAGATTATCTGGTGGATAGATGACATTAAATGTGTCCCTGAGGGCCTCGGTACCAGCATCAACCAGAAGATGACGCAAGCAAGCGTTTCTTAGTCGAGGAGCCTGTTGGTATTACAGTAGCCAAAAACAACCTAAGGCAGAAAAGAAACTTTTCAGCTAAAGGCTCTTCTGTAAAATGGCAGTTGGAGGTAAAATCGAAGGGACCTCACACCAGCGGCATTGATAAGCGTCCCTTCAAAGTCCTAACATAGTGATTCGATTTAGCCCTCGAGGGGCTCATTTACTTTTGATAACTTAAGGAGGGACACTTATTAGGATTGGGCCCTTATTGGAATGAGAGTATTCACCCAATCGGGGGCACCTATTTGAATAGGGGCGCTTATAAACAAAATTTAAATTCAAAGGGGGCGCTTATTAGAACGAGGGCGCTAAATCGAAATCACGGTAACTCACTCAGGTGTTGTTTCAGTCGAGAATAGATAGGTATTTATTTAGTGATTAAATCTGTTTCAACAAATGCAAAACAGTAGAACCAAAATCTTTTAAGCTAGATCCAGGTTATCAGCTTCTTGTAGAACCTTTAAAACCCTTAGGAGAGAAAAAAGTCATTTACACGAAACGAAGAAGTTGTGTAGTAGCGGGCCGTGTTTCATTGTCCGGCCCGCTAAATTAAAAAAACTATCGAAAC